TTGCTGGCTGTAGCAGCGCTATAGCGCTGCTATAGCGCTGCACAGCAAAAACGCATAAAAAATGCACATGGAAGATTGAAGCAGAATATGTGAAGTCGGCAGCGCTAATAGATTAGTTCTGTGTGTGTGTGTGTCTCGATGTGAATGTATAAAGACAGTTAAAACTATGAAATTCGAAAAAGAGACCGGAAAAGTTAAGTTACCGATCGTATGTGTATGCGTGAGTACAAAAAACCCGTCTATCAGTTCGAAGTAATAAAGTTTGAAAAACTCGGGTAAGCTGTATATATTTTAAAAAAAAATATTGATTTAAAAAGAAAATATTCCCAGGGGAAGTATCAGAAAAAAAAAAGTTAACGCTGGCAAAATGTACCCCGGCACGGCGCTTACTAGATCTGGATAATTGCCACTGGACCACACACGATAGTTGTTGCTGATCTTCCACTCGGCAACAAAAGCATCGTTGAAATCATTCAGAGTGTCCTTCAAATCAGCGCTGACGGTAGCAATCAGAGACAACAGATAAGCCCTCGTTTGAAGCCGCACCCAATCGTCACTTCCTTCCCAACCTGCAAATCCCCTTAGATCCTGAGAATTCAGTGTACGCAACCGGCTGCATATAACAAGCAACTTCTCCTAATGCTTTTCTCACTGTTCCATGACTTGAAAGAATGGCGGACGAGTTGGAGAGGACGAGAAGATTGAGGAAGCGGGAAGGAGATAATTAAAAATGTTCTTTGAAACTTTAGCAGGAGGAAAATTCCGTTTTTATTTGGCAACAGTCAAATATATACTTGGAGATTTTGCGTTGGCTTCCACTTCTTTCAAGATGAAATCAATAAAGCGGAGATCAGCTGCAGTCAGTGTCAATGCTCTCCTTAATTCCACGTTAACAATATCCACGTTTCCGTCGCCGCTTTCATCAATCTCAAAAACATTTCTTAAGTTTTCATACATGGCAGAGTGTTCCAGAAAATTTGGGATTTCTCAGCAAAGAGTGTCTTTAGATGAAAGAACTCTGTCGAAATATTCAAAATTCATCATAAAAGTACGCAAACTTCTTGCAACCAAGAGCTCAATAACCCAGGGAAGACCGAACGTAGACAGTTGTAAAATCCTGTTGTTAATGCTGTACACAGTTCTTGATAATTAGTACGATGTAAAACGTACTTTCAACAGATTTGATTTTCTTTTTTCTTTATAATCAGACAGTGAAAAGGAAAAATGTGAAGGACACGGCAAGATGCTTACAGTAACAACAACATCCAGCAATTCACGCCGCTGAACAAACAGTGCATTCGT